CAATCTGCTCAGTAATTGACTTTGTGCTGTTAACAATGACTCCAACTGATAATACAAAATATCAGGATTGATAGAAGGATAGCACAAAGCTGTTTCTCAGTTGAGATACTGTACAGAGTGTGTTCTTTGCATTGAACGTCAGTCCATAATAGTAACCCACCTGGAATTTTGTTTACAGATCCCACAAAGACGCATTCAGAACAGATTTCAGTTGTATGTGTGTGGGTGGGGGAAGGGGAGTGATAATAATACAAATAACTGAAAAGTGACATTGCAATCGTGTGTTTGTTGAGACAGCAGACCACACTTCTTCGCAAATGACATTTTGTGACAGAGTAAGGAGGATTGAAAATAGAGAGAAAAAGTTGAACAAACTTTCTGTCGTGGAAAGTTATCACTTTCTGTTGACAGTGTGCAAAAAGTCACGAAGGTGAACAATTCCAGTCACCTTCCAATTTATCTTTTTCACCAGCACATGCCGAAACATATTTGACAATATGTGGCGGTTCAAGATCTCTTACAAACATTGGTCGCATTTATATTTAGAGAAATAACTTCTCTGCAATAATGCCAGGAATTATTACTGTACTCGGATTTGGCAGGTTAGTTAATACAATAGATTGACCGCAATATCTGGTCAGGCAGAGTTTAAATGTTCTGAAAGTAGGATGCTGTATCTTCTACTCTCGTTACAGGTGTACAGCGCACCTCCCAAACAATTCCTTTCTTTCCTAGTTTTCACTGATATATTTTACAATACATGAGATTCCTGTGAACCTCATCTGTGGGCAGGTAACTAGAAAGGTCACGGGGGGGGGGGGGGGGGGGGGGTGTTTGGGGCGCAATTGATGTAATTTTCACGGCTTTGTCAATCATCCATCGAAACGTGTACTTATGGTTTTATACATTGTGCATCTTTACATCTTTGCAAACACGAAACCGGCCGCTTAAAATATCTGCAATGATGTATTTCACGTTCAATAAAACAGGAGAGAGTGAGGGGAGCTGGGTGTTGGAACACGTTTCCTTCACCTCATCAATCCCCTGTCGGTCGTTAATGATATCTGTTTGCCAGGAATGCCTCGGCTCCCGCTGTAGATTGTTTATGATGTGGATTGAAATGGACCAGAGACATAATAAAAAATATAGATAGATAGATAGACAGACAGACCGACCTTTTCATCCGCGCCCTACTTCATCTCTAAGATGTGATCTGAAACAGTATTGAGAAGGGTGGGGAAGAGGGTGGTGGGAGGCTGGTTGGGAAAGCGGTGGCTCGAACGAAAGCGAAAGCAGTAGCCGAGAGATTCCGTTCAATCCATTAAAAGAAAAATCGACAAAGCCCTCCAGCTCTGTGCGTGATTTTTACTCGAGCACGTCCTGCATTCTCTTCAGCACCACAGCTGCTGAACAGCGCACCATCACCACCTCTGGTCATCCTCCACCAACAATCTTAACCCCCGGGGCAATCCCCTCTGAGCCAACCGTGTAACCAGGTACCTGTGTGTTGTGTCCCCCCCCCATTAAACTTTAAGATACATACATCTGCCATTCAAACAACCCAATGTGCGTAAAATACATCCTTATATGAAAACCAATCACGTCCCATATTCCAGGTTACTGTCACTGTACAATAATATCTCCCCCCACACACACACCCCCACCACACACACACACACACTGAAGTCCACATTGGGGGCATATGTCGGATCGGATCTGGAATGCTTGGTTTTTTTTTTGTGGGGTCTCGGTTAACGCAATAAACAGGAGTTTGGGGGAGGGGGGGGGGGTTGTACAAAAAAATCCGTGCTGCCTTACAGAACCGCATCGCCAAGTGATTAATATATCTGTGGATGTCAGATCCGCAGAAACAAGCAGCTGGAATAGTACTGGGATCCCTGCACACACACACACACACACACACATCATACACACACACACGGCATACACACACACACGGCATACACACACACATCACACACACACACACACACACAGCATACACCACACACACACACATCATGCACACACACACAGCATACACCACACACAGCATACACCACACACAGCATACACCACACACACACACACACACACACACATCATACACACACACAGCATACACCACACACAGCATACACCACACACACACACACACACACATCATACACACACACAGCATACACCACACACAGCATACACCACACACACACACAGCATACACCACACACAGCATACACCACACACAGCATACACCACACACACACACACACATCATACACACACACACGCACACATCATACACACACACAGCATACACCACACACACACACACAGCATACACCACACACACACACACCATACACACACACACATCATACACACACACACAGCATACACCACACACACATCATACACACACACAGCATACACACATACACCACACACACACCATACACACACACAGAGCATACACACACACACACCATACGCACACACCGTACACACATACACCACACACACACACCACACACCACACACACACACCACACACACATACACACACCACACCACACACACACACATCATACACACACACCATACACACACACACCACACACACACCATACACCACACACCATACACCACACACACCATACACCACACACACACAGTACACCACACACACACACAATACACAACACACACCATACACCACACACCACACACACACATACACCATACACACACAAGCCACTACACACACACACCACCAGTTGTAATGAAACAGTAAACTGCACCTACATGACATCCTATACACCATTAAACACACACACATCGTCTACTTCATCGATGCAATGTACATACATGTACCTTCCTGTTTCCAGGGAAAGCTGACACTGAAAATGCTGCATTTCATTCATTACATTGCATCAGAAACAACCTTTTTTTTTGGGGGGGAGGAGGGGGGGGTGAATTACAAAATTACAAAAAGTAATTCGTGGGGGTGGGGGGGGGGGGGGGGGGGGGGGTGACACTGCATATGATTCAGAAATCATGTATTTCCCTTTTGGCGGCCGATATTTTATAATCCAGGAAAATAATACACAGGACTGCATTTCAAACAGAAACTGGTGGGTTGGTCAGTCGGTAAGTTGGTCAGTTAGTTGGTGGGTCAGTTAGTTGGTTGGTTAGTTAGACAGTTAGTTAATCTCGGGGATCTGGGTCAGCAAAAGCTCAGGGTTTGTGACTATTGATAGTACTCGTGTAACCAACCCATCCACCCACAGGAGCCCAGAACAAGAGCAGCAGAGAAACCCCCAACCAACAGCCAACAAACCCAGCCTTTCCAGATTAATACAAATATTATTATTATTAATATTATTATTATTATTATTATTATTATTATTATCCCACGGCCCCCATCAGGTTTCATTTCAAACGTTTTTTTTAAAAAAATACACAACTCAGTGGGTGGGGGGGAAGGAAAGAGAGAGAGAGAGAGAGAGCGAGAGGGTCAAACAAAACAGACTGAAATCAAACCCAACAGGGGGTTTGCTTTAAAGGAAGAGGAAGAGGAGGGAGGAAGGGAGAGGAGGGGGAGGAAGAGGAGGGGGAAGAAGAGGAGGAATAGGAGAGGAAGAGGAGGGGGAGGAAGAGGAGGAATAGGAAGGGGAGGAAGAGGAGAGGGGGGGAGGAAGAGGAGGAATAGGAGAGGAAGAGGAGGGGGAAGAAGAGGATGAATAGGAAGGGGAGGAAGAGGAGAGGGGGGGGGGGAAGAGGAGGAATAGGAGAGGAAGAGGAGGGGGAAGAAGAGGAGGAATAGGAAGGGGAGGAAGAGGAGAGGGGGGGAGGAAGAGGAGGAATAGGAAGGGGAGGAAGAGGAGAAGGGGGGAGGGAGAGGAGAGGGAGGAATAGGAGGGGGAGGAAGAGGAGGAATAGGAGGGGGAGGAAGAGGAGAGGAGGGGGAGGAAGAGGAGAGGAGGGGGAGGAAGAGGAGAGGAGGGGGAGGAAGAGGAGGAATAGGAAGGGGAGGAAGAGGAGGGGGGGGGGGTGGAGGAGGTGGAGGGAGAGGGAGGAGGAGGAGGAGAGGAAGCGGCGGTGAAAGGAGGAGGAAGGAGGGGGGGGGGGAATGGTGTGAACGAAAGCTGCCGCTTCGTGTGGCTGTCACCGGCTTCTACCCCAGAGAGACACCGACCAAAGACGGTTAAAACCGTTGGCCCCGTCCCCCCCCCTCCCCTCCCCCCTCCCCCCTCCCCCCTCCCCCTCCCCCACAGACCCCCTCCTTCCCCCCCTCTGTTTTTTTCATCCTTCGGGTGGAATCTACATGTCTTTTTCCTGCGATTTAAAGTCCAGATTATGCAATGAGGAGGGCGGGAGGGAGGGGGGGAGGGGGGGGGGGAGCGGGTCAGGGCCCGAGGGCTCCTCTCACCGTCTCTCTCGCCCTCTCTCCGGGACCGGGTTGAACGCTACAGCCGCTGAAGGAGACTCGGGAGTCGGCCCCACGTCCTGTCCCTGACCCCTCGCGGCGGCCTCCAAACACACACACACACACACACACATATATATATAATATAATATCATATAATTATGTCTCTATCTCTCTATAAACCGCCGCTGACAACGCGCAGACTTCGTACATAAAATGCAGCAGAAGCAACGGGAGAGGAGGAGGAGGAGGAGAGGAGGATAGAGAGAGTGTGGGAGAAGGAGGAGAGGGAGAGAGAGAGAGAGAGAGAGATCGACGGAGAGAGGGGGAGAGATCGACGGAGAGAGAGAGAGAGAGGAGAGAGAGAGAGAGAAAGGGAGAGGAGAGAGAGAGAAAGAGAGAGAGAAAAAGCTTTCACTGGGAAATAAATAAAAGCGAAGGAGAAGAGAGAGAGAGAGAGAGAGAGAAAGAAACAGAGAGAGAGAGAAAGAGAGAGAGAGAAAAAGAGAGAGAGAAAGAAAAGAGAGGCTAAAAATGCAGCAGCGAGCGGGTCCTCCCGGTTGCCCGTTACCTGTGAGAACCCCCACCCGGATCTGGTGGTCGTGGTTAGTTAAAAGTATCCCCTCGGTCGCCATATTTACAACTCCGGGATCGGCCGCGAAAACACTCACAGCGGCAACAACACAGGACGCGTCCCGAGGCGGCAGTAATGGAGCTCAGACCACATCCACCCGACACTGACACAGCACAGCCCCACACACACACACACTCACACACACACTCACTCACACACACAGCACCACACACACACACTCACTCACACACACAGCACCAACACACACTCACACACACAGCACCACACACACTCACACAGCACCACACACACACTCACACACACACAGCACCACACACACTCACACAGCACCAACACACACACTCACTCACACACACAGCACCACACACACTCACACACACAGCACCACACACACTCACACACACAGCACCACACACACTCACACAGCACCACACACTCACACAGCCCCACACACACACACACTCACACACACACAGCACCAACTACACACACACAGCACCAACACACACAGCACCACACACACACACAGCACCAACACACACTCACACACACACACACACACAGCACCAACACACACTCACACACACACACACTCACACACACAGCACCAACACACACAGCACCACACACACACACAGCACCAACACACACTCACACAGCACCAACACACACTCACACACACACAGCACCAACACACACTCACACAGCACCAACACACACTCACACACACAGCACCAACACACACACACACACACAGCACCAACACACTCACACAGCACCAACACTCACACACACACACTCACACACACACAGCCCCCCCACACACACAGCCCCACACACTCACAGACACAGCACCAGCACACACACACACAGCCCCCCCACACACAGCACTACACACTCACACACACAGCCCCAGCACACACACAGCCCCCCCTCCCCACACACAGCACCAATACACACACAGCCCCAGCACACACACACACACAGCACACAGCCCCAGCACACACAGAGCACCTACACACAGAGCACCAGTACACACAGAGCACCAGCACACACACACAGAGCACCTACACACACAGAGCACCAGCACACACACAGAGCACCTACACACACAGAGCACCAGCACACACACAGAGCACCTACACACACAGAGCACCAGCACACACAGAGCACCAGCACACACACAGAGCATCTACACACAGAGAGAGCACCAGCACACACACAGCACCTACACACACACACACACACAGAGCACCTACACGCAGAGCACCAGTACACACAGAGCACCTACACACACAGAGCACCAGCACACACACAGAGCACCTACACACAGAGAGAGCACCTACACACACAGAGCACCTACACACACAGCACCTACACACACAGAGCACCAGCACACACACAGAGCACACACACACACACACACACAGAGCACTTACACACACACAGCACAGCACCGAGCAGGCACTGCAACCACTGAGCTGAGAGCCGCTCACACTCACTCAGCCTCACTAACAAACACACGTAGAGTGGGAAGGGACGGAAAGGGGAGTGGGGAAAGCGTGTGTGGGTGTGTGTGGGGGTGTGTGTGGGTGTGTGTGTGTGGGTGTGTGTGTGTGTGTGTGGGTGTGTGTGTGTGTGTGTGTTTGGGGTGAAGGAGGGAAGGTTTTTTGTTAAAACTTCCAACTTTTGTTTCCTAAGGTGTGTTTTTTTTGCGCAGTGCTGCTTTTGCTTTTGCTTTCGCTTTGGTTTGCTCCACTCTCTCTGTCTGTCTCGTGTCAGCAGTTTGTATCTGCTTGGACTGTGCGTGTCATTTGCTTTGCACCCTCAACCCTTCATTGCGGAGTAGGCTGTACATGTGTGTGTACGTGTGTGTGTGTGTAGCGTGTACATGTGTGTGTATGTGCGTATACAGTCACATCATTTGCTCTGCTGTCACGTGAAACAAACCGAGCGCCGAGTGCATTGATCTCTTTGGGAACAGAGGGGGGTGGGGGGAGTGCTCTGTGTCTGTATGTGTCTGTATGTGTCCTGTATGTTGTATGTATGTGTGCGTGTGTGTGTGTGTGCATGCACGGTATGTGTGTACACGTGTGTGGATATCGTGCCCGTGCAGCAGTAGGTCTCGGTGAATGAGATTTACTGCAGTGCAATTGGGATTCCGAGCCCGTGGTTTCATTAACTAACAGCAATTCCAGGATCCAGCTTTCCGGGCACGTTCTGGGTCGTGCTTGACAATGGGCTGGAATCTCCCTCCCCCCCCACCCCCCCCCACCCCGGAAAACATGCAACGTCGCTTCATTGGCAATTGGAAGGGGGTGATGGTGTGTGACATGCTCTCACTGCAAAAGGGTGATGGTGTGTGACATGCTCTCACTGCAAAAGGGTGATGCTGTGTGTGTGTGTGTGTGTGTTGCCTGTCTGGCTCAATGAGGAAGTCTCAACCAGGCTCCTCAGCTGCTGGGAAGGGGGAAAATAAAGCCCAGCTCCACCATCCAACTCTACCACGCGCCATTCGGACAGGGAAGAAGAGGCTTGGGATGTCCTCCTGACACGAAAGGCACTGTGCTAAATGCCATTTGGTCGTGTGTGTGTGTATATATGTATGTGCGCGCACGTGAGCGTGTGAAAACTCTTTTAAGTTATTTGGAAAACCAAGGCCTCTGTGAAGCAACCGTGGCGATCGATTGCATGAATGCTGAGGATGGCCTGGAGCCCACTGCCCTCAATTAGTTTTCCATAAAATTAATTATGTGGTAGAGTATGTAAAGAGAATGTAAAGTGCTCACAACTCGGTCAAGTAGAGTACTTGGGAAAACAACTGTTACGTATGTGGTGTGATATCTATTTGTGCCATGTGTAAAATTTATTTTGTAAATAAATTTCCTCTGTCTCCTTTTTAAAATACATTTGAAATTAATTTCAGAAAAAAATCTACAATATTAAATGAGATTTGAAGACACTCCCCATTTCCCATCATACCATATTACGTAGGATGGTTCTCTACATTTGAGATTTGTCCACCATGATATTAAAATATTAAAGTAATGTTCTGCACCGTGCTGGAATGTTGAACGTCAAAGAAAACTGGATTTACCAATTTGATTCACAATACAGTATATTCTGTGAAGCGCTTTGAGACGTCTCTAAGAGATGATAAGGCACTATATCAAATGCAAGGATTGTTATTATTTCTAATAGTAACAAAACAATATCAACAAACAAACACACCTGTTGAAATTGACCATCAGTCATTGTAAAGATAGGAAATGCAATCGTTAAATCGTTAACCCCTTTAGTTCTGTTATAAAGGCTGGTGTTACTACAGTAAAGTGAAGATTAGTTTATGCCTGCATTCATTTTTAACCCATTGAGCAACAGAGCTAGAAAATAATCCTACTGCTGTATCTCTGAATCATTGCTAAAACAAGTATTTGCTTATTATTATTTGATGGAAAGGCAGCCCAAATGTAGTGAGGCTTTGAAAGATGGACTCAAGAGGCAAAATGGGAAATGAATCGCATTATGCAATGTTTGTTTCCTATCTTTGAAATAAAAAATATTGGGGTATAACTTTGACTGCTTTGGTAATGAAAATAGAATTTATCCCATAAGTGAAGAGACCTGAACAATTCACTAGTGGCAAAGACATGAGTAAGCTGTGTAGGTGTCCCTCACGTGTGGGATAAATACTGTATTCAAGACCAAAATGATGAATATTCTATTTACAGAACAATTACAGTGTGAATCATTATATTAGAAGGGACAAAAACAGCTTTGTTTGTTACTTTTTTTATACAAATTTTAATAGGGACTATTAAGGTGACACATGAACTCAGTCACCAGTGCAGTAAGTGAGGAGGGGGAGGGCAAGGACGGTCCACATAAAAGCAATTTAAAATAGTTTCAGAAGTGGCACTGAAAGACATGCAAACAATTACTGGAAATCTAACACACAGTTGTAGATAGATATTGTTCAATAGCGTACTGTGATACACAGAATTTAAGTCTAGAATGAAGGCCTACTTTGTCTGTTAAATACTTCAGTATCCCAAAGTTTCCCAAAGGAGTTCTATGTTTATACATATAAAACACATTTAATTTAACTGTTTATAAATATAATTACCACAAAGGTCATTTGTTTAGATTTAGCTTTACTGGGGGCTAGTAGAATTCCAAAGGATTCTTGAAACACTGTGTCCTGACTTTGCAAAATACAAATCACAACAAAACCTCACAGTTGAAAACAAAATACATAGTTGCAGAAGAAAAATCAAACTATTGTTTTCACACACTATAAACATTGTTATTCCTCAAGAGTAAATGGTTCATAGTTTTCCAACAGTTAGACATGATTCCAATGGGCTGACACACAGCAATGTACTGCAAATAAGTTTTCTATTGTGAGCAGAGGTTACCAATTCTTACCATAAGTTTACGATGTGAGAAATGAGTTTATAAAACTGGTGCAAAAACACCAATTAAATATTTGGACCGAATTCCCAGGAATCAACACTTGACTCCTTCATCCTCTACCAGTCATCTCTGTCTGTGGCATTCAAACAAAATGACTGATTGCTAAGCTAGTTATTGGGGGATTTGGCTGACAATCTGAAAACATGACTCATGACCCGATTGCAGAACTCACATAGGACAGCAGAGCAAAGTAACAACATTCGATGAGAGACTTAAGTGCTCCATCATTAATGTCCTCAAGCAGATGATAAACCAGGCTGGCTTTACAATATAAGTGCGCAGAATGATTGTGGTCTGTTCGTTCAACAGATTTTCATTAATGAAATGGATCACTATGAGGAATGTCCAAGTGCATTTGCCAAGTGACTAAGAACTCCACTTTCCTGGGCTATCAGGAAATACAATAGTATAAGAATGGGAGATTAAGGATAATTTGACTGGAACCTGTTCCCAGTAATCTAGGGCAAAGGTATTACGTGAGGGCTAAGGGAGAAGGGATTAAGGGTGGAGGCTCATATGGAGCATAAGAACTTGCATGGACTTGTTGCCTGTTTCCATGCCACACAGTCTATGTGATTTTATGCAATATTATCA